GCAACTGTGATGACACTTCTCAAATTCCACTATTGCTAGCATCAGTGTCTAGCAGGAATTCATATTCCTGTTGTAGATGTACTAACACTGGGGATTCTACTAAAGCACATTTCAGGGGCTGAAATGCTTGCCCGCACTCCTCACCCTATCTAAGGTGCTTCCCTACCTTAATAAAACAGATAAAGGTGAAGCAATCTTGGAGAAACTGGCCACGAACTGTCGGTAATACTACGTGAAAAAAGGGGAATTTGCGATTTCTCGTTTGGTCATTGGTTGAGACCAATCTTGTATCATTGCTATTTTTGCGTGGTCTGCGGAGTTTCCTTCTCTACATACAATATGACCAAGAAATTCCACTTTCGTGAACACATAAACACACATTTTCGAGGTTTCAGTTTCAATACCGTCTTTTTATCCATTGAAATACCATTTTCAGTCTCATGGCACTCATTAGATAAGATTGCATTAAGGAATATTCTCCAAGAGTGGTAACAGGTATTACCAGCTTCGAGAATAATAAAGAAAGAAAGTTAACTATTAAAAACAAGATTAAAGGTTTTCTTGATCACGTTTTATGCGAAACCTGGACAAATTCGGAACAAAGAATAAGTTCAGATTGTTAGCTGGAGTGAAATCAAGTAAAATAAAGTTTGAAGTATAAACATTTCATAAATTTGTATACAAAAAAACTGTTTTTTTTTTTTACAATTTGAATCTGTGATTTTTAAAGCTGTGCTAGTGGAGAAAAAATCTATTAAAGTTAATAACAATGCATTTAAAAATGTAGAATAGTATTTTAGGTATTAAACAGGCGGTGGCGGTACAGCTTAAACCCACAGAGATAATAATATTTATGCTATTGCTAGTGTAAATAGTGCAATGTTTGCTCGGTTATTTTAATAAATAGTTTAATTAAGATGGATTGATGTGCAGTTGTTGCTGTTTAGACTAATTTAGTAAATCTAAAATGGATAGTATAAATAGAAAAACGGCTCCAAACTTATTAACATTGTCAAATGAGATAATAAATAAATTACTCTTGTTTTGCTCAGTTAATGATATTTCTTCATTGAGTCAAACATGTAAAAGATTAAGGGAGTGCACTCAATCGGAATACTTATGGTAAGATAACTTAATATTTCACTATTTAGTTAATAATAATATTAACAAAATAAACAATTAAGAAAGAAATATGAACAAACAGTAACATAATGATTTTTAATAGTCTAAGTTTAGTACTGAGACGACAACCTCAGACTTCACACTAAAGACTGAAACAGTAAAAAGTGGAAAAAATTAAAATTGAAAATTAAAGCACTTAACACAATAACCATGTCAACTGTTATTATTAGCACAGATTAATGGAAATGAAAATAACTGAAGGTGAAGAAACTATTTTGTCTAACATTAATAGTAGTATGGACAAACTGAATTCTGAAGTGTGGCTTCAGATCTTACAATTTTTAATCTTAAATACTTCGCAGATTACTTAGAACAGTCACAACTGATACACAGAAATTTGTATACAAAATACAGGCATAAATTATTTTGGTTTAAAAGTCACCATTGTTTCAATGGAAATTTACTCCGATGTGAAATTGACTAACATGGTAAAAGAAGTGAACAACTTCACAATAATTTCCAACCATATGTTTCATATAATTTAATAACATTACAATGAAATTTTAAGTTCACAAATCCTTGACTTTTTTATGTTTGTTTAAATATTATAATATGTAGTAAACCAGGCACTTTATATTTGCAGTGTCATCTGAAAATTTTTGGTCACAAGCAGCATATTTCATGTTTCAGTAAATAATATTGTGGTGAAAAACATAATTTTTTAATAACTGTTTTTTAAGTAATTATTTTTCATTACTAATGATGCAGTATTTTGCTAATGCATGTATATTTGTGTAAAAAAGTAAGTATATAAAATTTATTTTTATAATATAATAAAATTCAACTTTAATATACCTACTTTATGCATATGTATATTTAATAGTTTGCTTCAATCACAGTGATAAATACTTAAAAACAATAATTATTAAAATTAATAATACCACTACTGATAAAACACAAACATCAGAAAATGTTTTTCCCATGATATTAAAAAAGGTGAAAGATCAGAAATGCATCTCTTTTAATTTATGCTAGGTCAACAGCCAGTGAGCAGTTACCTAAGGATTAAGGAATTGCTAATGTTACTCATATTTGTAAAAGAATTGGTAAGATTGCTCTGGAGATTACAGACTAGCTAGTCATACTTCTGTAGTGGTAAAAATTCTAGAGTCTGATAACAGAAGCTTTGCAAAAGTATCTAGTGAAATACTATATCATAAAGGAAAATATACTTGGATTCACTGAAAAGAAATTTTCTGATACTAATATGTTAAACATTTTTGAGGATGTTACTTGTTATTTGGATGATAGAAAGGGTGTGTACTTAAGCATTTCCAAAAGTTAAGTAAATCACATCAGTGGGGGTTGGGGTAAGAGTAGTAAATTGGATTGGTGAATAGTTGGAAGAAAAAAAGCAAAAAGTTGTTATTAATTGAATCCAGTCAGACTGAATCCTTGTTAATTGTAGACGGTTTCAAAGGTCAATGCCTGGATTTTTGCTTCTTATTTACATTAATTTGGCATAATTTAGGAAAGTTTATTGATAACATTAAACACTTTGGTAGTTTTAGCTGTAATGAGAATGTTGAGGAGCTACAGAATGACTGGTCATTTGCTAACTTTGACAAATGTTCTTTAATTATATATAGCAAGTGCAAAGTGAAGCATTTGGGTTATCATAATATTTAATATAGGTGGGAACTCACTTAATAGCTTATTGATGAAAATGATCTTGGTATAGTAGTGGATAAGTTGCTCAAGCTATTGAGGATGTTCATTGCTAGTAGTAAAGCTAATGGAATTTTATAGACATTGTCATTTAATTTTTTTTACCCAAAATTCATCTGAAAGTTTTGTGTTTGGGAATGACATATGGCTTTTAATTCAGCTTAATGATGTAGGAATTACCCAGCATCTCCAAAAGAATGACTTGAAAAAGCCAACTTCATGTGTATGGTTCGTTGTGGGTTTCTATTCAGCAGGTACAAGGTGCTAATGTTTTTATAGTCAGATCACAAAAGATATACATTGTCATGCTAGATGTAAATTACTTTTGACTTGATAAACACTTGGGAAACCAAAGTTTCAATTAGCCAGAAATCACACAACTAGTATGAAAATATTAAAAGAGTAAAAGTATGCCTGATTATAAAGTTTCTTGAAAAGAAGCCAACCTCGTGTGTTGGGTCAGTTGTGGGTTTCTACTCTGTAGGTACAAGGTGATCATGTATATAGTCAGTTACAATAAAAATGTAAGACAGTTGTAAATTTAATACTGTAATCTTAAAAATGATACAACAGTCATGTGTATAACTATTCAACTGTTCCTGTTGTTAACTCTACAACTACAGTGAATCTATGTTAGGCCTAAAGTTAATTTTGGAAGAGCATTAGCAATAACTGTTGATACATATGTACTGTAAGACTGAAGACTTGTGTTGCTACTCTAGTAAAAAAAGAATCTATAGGACTGACAATGTTAACATATGGTCTTTTTTATTTCATAAAAGCTTGTAATATTCTTACATTTTCATTTTATAACTGGTATAGTTTATTTTGGTTAATTTACATTTATTTTTTTCTTTATCCAATTTGTGATTAGTTCATTGAAAGTGGTTATGAATATTAAAGATTTTTTATTAAATTAGTTTTTGGTAATTTCCAAATTTACTTTGCTTTTAAAATGTGAATTTTCTCTAAAATATATATATACGCATGCTGCAGTTAAGTATATGTAAAAAAAATTATGTTTATGGTGTTATTCAACATTTGGTTTTACTGCTTATTTTCATTAGTAAGTAGTGTTAGATAAATACACACTTTGTATCAAATTCGTAAGGGTATGTATACATATAACTTTTTTGAGAAGCTTACTTGATGTTAATTGGTTTTCTTTTACTTTCTCCAACTTTTGATGATTAACCCAATGTACATGTAAGAGTTGTATGCAAATTTTTAGTAAAATATTGGATTGATTCAATAATTGATTTACATGCACTGTTCTTGTTAGTTAAAAAGTTAGATATGGTCTTCATTTTTACTCTTTTAACACCTTTCATGGAAGATTTTATGAAATTATTTTTAGTTCCATGCCAGAAAGAATAAAATATTGAAATTTTAAATGATCTTATAATTATATTAATTATGTACACAAGTGTGTTTTAATTATTGATATTTTATGTTCTAGCCACGAGACTTTAATCAAGTAGTTTGAAACTGAATGTGTGGCTTGTATATTGATAAATATGTTTATGAAAGCTGTGTAGTTCATTATTCATTGTAATAATAAATATACATATATATATCTTTTCATTTTACCATAGGTATCACAAATGGGTAGAGTTGGTGGATTCATGTGGATTAAAGATTTTAGCAGAAAAAATACCCGTGTTTGAAACCTCAGAAGTTTATGGTGAAAAACAAAATGGTAGAAGTATAATAACATATAGCTATTTTAAACAATGTCAACGCCTGTGGAAAGTGTGCTACAGACATGGCAAAGGTTTACAAAGCTTGCCAACATGTTCACATTGTGGTAAAAAAACTTGTTCGGTAGAATGCTTGAGTCTGCAAGAACACAAGATGTCTTTGGACATAGGCAGCAAAGTAACATGGCTTTTAACTACAAAGTTTTCAATAGAAAGACATTCATCTGTATTAATGAGCTCAAAAGTGAAATCTTATTTTTCTCATTTCAACAGCGTAGTTGCAGATAGACAGTGTGTACGTTATCAAATTAGATCAGATTTCTGCTGTTTTATTTGTGATCAAGCTGATAAGGGCCAAAAATATGGTCATAGTAGTTCACGAGTAGACTATAGTAACAAAGTGGACACCAGTGTGTGTGAGTGCTTTATGTCAGAACCAAGCGATCTGAGCTATAAAGAGAAATATTCCTGTGAAAACCTGTTTGTTGGTTCAAAGAAAACCCAGAATCATGATTTAGTAGCTGCTTCCAAAACAATGGTACCAACATCATTATGGAGTGATCTTCCTTCTCTTCTGAAAGACACTTATCCTGACTGTGATATTCAATCTCCATTAGAATGTTTTTTAAATGGTGAGAATTTTTGTTATCTAGAACAGTACCTTCATCATATATTACAAAGATATGTGATGCTAGATGAAGCAAAGAAACCTAGTGTTTCATTTGTATTTTGTGAACCTTACAACACAACTACTGATATACGAAGGAAAATTGCCAGGTACTTATTTGAAGAACACCAAGTAGCAAGGTATGTAAGTTGCTATTTAAATTCACTTAAATATCTGTGCAACTTCTATTAATGTTGATCTGGCATGGCCTGCTAGTTAGGGCACTCGATTTGCAATGTGTGAGTTGCAGGATCAAATCCCACTGCCAAACATGCTCACTCTTTGAACTGTGGGGGTGTTATAATGTGATGGTCAATTCCACTATTTGTTGGTAAAGAGTAGCCCAAGAATTAGTGGTGGATGGTGTCAACTAGCCACCTTCCCTCTAGTCTCTCACTTCAAAGTTATGTTCAGATAGCCCTCGAGTAGCTTTATATGAAATTCAACACATTTTTTTAATGTACTGAATAAAATTACACACATGTAAGGAATATGTGTTACTGAATGTTTAACTGTTTATAAGTTTTTTAGAAATGCAAGTGTGTAAAAATAATTTCATTAATTATAAATTTTCTATTCATTTATTAAAAAATAGAGAGAATATTATTATTTTAAAAAAGAATAGTAGAAGCTAATTAAGCTACATACAAAACCACTACAGTGAATAGAAAGTACTCTGAACTAATGCATATTAATTTTCAGTCAATAACCTAAAATGTTTTTTTGTAAGTTTACTTAAAGAAAAATGATTAATTTGACAATTTTAAAGTTTAAAACAAAATATCTTATGTATTAAGAAGTGAGAAAAAGTAAGGCATGACTTTTGTTTGAAACTTCACTTGAAACTTGGAGAACATACATACAAATGAATTATTTTAACAAAGTATAGCAGTGTTTCAACTAAACCATCAGGTTGTTAATGAAGATAGATTGCTTGAAATGCTGTCTATATTTTATCTTCTCTATTGCTGTTTGAGAATTTTTGTGCTTTTAGATATTTTCATGATTTATCTATATTTATTTGTTATGTAAAGACCTGATGATTGCTATATTGAAAATTCTGTGACATACACTATTGTTGTGTATCTGCTTGTTTGATAATTTCCTGTAGAAATTCTTTCTGAAGAACTTCAGTGATAAAAGTCCTTTCTTGATTAAACCAGTTTATTCTTTCTCGATACAACTTTTTGTAATACACAGAATTTCCACAGTCACTTTAAACTTAACAACTTTTATAACACATGCTATAAATGACAGTGATTCACACACTTTAATTACGGTGCCTGCTGTTCGCTTGACTCAATTATCTATCTCTTCAATCGTGCTGGTTTTTCTCGCAAAGCTTATATACTAAAAAGAGGGCGTCTTGAATGCACTCGGGCCTTCATGATCATTCGAGAAACTCCAGCGCGCATGCTCCCAGTGTCGTATGACTTCCGCTGTTGTAACACTATTTTGATAATATTGATAAAAAAGTTCAAGATGGAAAATTATCATGAATGTATTCTTCTTTCAAATGATGTATTTTTGGAATTTTTCAAGCCATTCTTTCTTTTACTTATTGCTTCAAAACCTTTTTATTACAGGCCAAAAACTTTAATAATATGAGTTAAATATGTTGAATATGGAAGTTGAGTTCATTATCTTAAAATGATTTTTGAGCCTCACCATGTTGTCACACTCATTGCAATGGTCATGCATCTTGACAATAGCTCTACACTTTTTGTTTCCATTGAAATAGGCTCTGTCATAATGCTGTCATGTTCAAAACACACTACTACTCTGAGAGTATTCCATAATCCATTTAGTTTCCTAGTGCTTGTTTTAACAGCCCAAACATACAGAAATTCATATGTGCTGTATTTGGTGACTTGACTGATTTATCTTTGTATGGAATAGCATGAATACCTATTTCATTCTCTAGCTGATCGAGGTATGTGATGCTTAACCCGATGACTACCGGCTACTAACTTTCTTAGTAGGCAATGCAAGTCTTGCTACATTCCAACAATAAAACTAGTGGACGAATATTTTCGAAAATTCATAAATACCTTGACAAATGTAGGTAATTTAAGAAACATAAAGCCTATTACTTTTAATAAGTTTAGTTTTTTTGCATTATGATCTTTAATATCTTGGAAAATTACATTAGGAAATCGTATTTATAAGAAATGATTACAATATTTATATTTGCTACAGATTTGAACTTATTACTTTTAATGTTTTAGTACATTATTTTGAAATCCCCAAAGAACTGTATCCTCCATAAAATGCAAATTTGATCTATTTTTAATTTTTTAATAATCACGTATACTTCTTATGGTTTCAAGTAATATACAGACTCGTAAATAATATTTGTAAATAAACCTAAACAATAAATGAGTATTTTTATTTTTAACTAGGATTTCTTGTTTATATATGTACATAAAAACATTTTAATTTTGTTTCATAAATATATTTTTATTTCAGATTTATGTTTATGTTTCATTGCAGTCGTACTTTTGTGTTTATTGTGCGAATAAATCATGGGGTCAGCAGCGTGAACTGGGGTCAGCTTTGTATGTTGTCTGTAAACTATCTCACCCTTTTTGGTGGTCA